TGCAGGGCTATCCAAAGCCATCACATCACTTAAGACCATGGTTAGGGACGTACAAGAGGTGGGGGAAGATTATCTGGTGGGACAACACAGGCTGGATGCGATCAGATTGGAAGAGGGAGGGGATGTTCCTCCTTCCGTGCAGCCCTTGGTTCAGCAATACAGTAAGGATTTTCAGTCACCTCAAGGATAGCCACCTCCACCGGAACACGAGCATATCTCCACCTTGAGGACAAGGTGGATTTTTGGGAGGGGAATATTGTTAGACCGGTCCAGCCGGTCCGCACAAGACCGGCAAGTCGCAAAGAGCGACAGATCTCCGCCTCCTGCGGAGATCGATCGGCCCGACCAGCCCATTAGAGCATTTTAGGAAGCGTTTTTTAGCGTTTTGAGAGGGAAATTTGAACGTAGGGACTGTTTAGGGAATTCCTTTTGATTTGTATGCATTAAATAGTTGATTTTGCTAGGGTTTGGGTATCTGGAATTTGGCTGAAATTTGAGATCTCGTAGAGTTAGGTTTTCTTTGGGCTCTAGCGGCGTCTAGAGATTTGGGAGAGATCGATCCTCCTCTCGAATTGAGGATCAATTGTATCTTTGCTGTTTTCCTTGATTTTCTAGTGAAATACAAGCTTCTACTTGTGTTTTTCTCTACGTTTTTCCTGTTTCCTGCTGTTTTTTTCTGCTGTAAACAGCAGATTACTGCTGTTTAACTGCTGTGGACAGCAGTTTTCATCGGATCTACTTCAGTTTTGGTGAGAAACACTTGGGAATCCAAGTGTTTCCTATCAAAATCTTGGAGAAAAAAGAAAGATCTCTAAATTTAGATCTTACCTTTTCTCTTCATTGAGCTTTCCCTTTGATTTCCCCCTAAAATCACCGCCAGAAAAGCCGCCGGCGGCCGGCTTCATGGAGATCTCGCCGCCCCTTCCTCCTCTCTCTCACGTGCGCGGCGAAGGAATGAGCCAAGGGACCGAATGGTTCGGTCCCTAGGCGGATGGGAGCTTAAGGGAGAAATTTTAAATGTCTATTTACGCATGTGCCCCTTCTCCTATTAATTTTCTTAAGAGTTCATGAGGGTAAAATGGGCAAAAAGGGTAAATTGTACTTAAACTAATTTCGACTAATTTTAGTTTTAAAATCATGCGAATTTAGGTATAGGTTCTTTATATCTTTTCGATCAAATTTTGCATAGAATTTTAATAAAATTATTTGCATCGAAATCCAACTACTTCGAAATTTCACCTAACTTCGTCGCGGTTAAAATTACGCAATAAGAGGCCCGCCTCAGCTCAATTTTAAACTTTTAAGCCTCAAAGCCTACGCAATGAGAGCTGGCATTGAGGCGTATGCCTCAAGTTCACTAAGGCGCACCCCAAGGCGCGCCTCGCCTCATGTTTTAGAGGCGTCCACCTCTTAAAATTAAAAAAAAAAAACAACTAACCACTCGGTACTAAAATTAAAAAAAAAAAAAACAACTAACCACTCGGTACAACAATGCTTGGTACCACTAGATACATGCTCGGTACTACTAGGGACATACTCGGTACCGCTCGATACTTGCTCAATACAACTAGGTACATGCTCGGTACCGCTCGGTGCATGCTCGGTATTGTTAGGTACATGCTCAGTACATGCTTCGTACCGCTAGGTTCATGCTCGGAAACCCCCGCAAGGGCGCTGCCCCTTGACCCCGCGACCTAACCGGTTAGGTCGAACCCCGGCAGGGGGCAGCACCCCCTTGGACCCCCGACTGCCCTCTATATTGTCGTATTCATCATCTTTAGTAATAGTTGCTAGTATTAATCTACTTCTTCATGAGTGCATGCTTTGTATAAGTTTTCTTAATGTAGAATAAGTAAAGCATTATATTTAGGGGTTTGATATATTGCACTAATAGTTGTTAGTATTAGTCTGCTTCTTTATGAATTGAATTATATTTCATATTGTCTTATTATTGGGATATTTTGATTTTACTTCATATCTTGTGCCTTTTTATGTTTTATATATTTTACTCATTAGTATATAAAAAATTTATCATTTTATGTTTACGCAATCTTTTGATTTTGAGGCTTACGCCTCAAAACGCCTTGAGGCTTACGCCTCGCCTCACGAACGAAAAACGCCTCAATAACTGATTACGCAATTTTAAACATTCGTCGTGGCGAATCGAAATGCGTGCAACGCATCCTATCTAAATTTTTCGGGTTTTACAGCATAAGTTTTTGCTTGAACCTACAAGCAAAACTCCATGATCCCATCCTTTTGCCTCCACCTCAACTTCAAAGAGGTAGAACATGAAGCTGAGTCCATTGGCGATGAAGCTATCACTAAAGATGGTGAAGGAAGCAGATTGAAAAGATGAAAGCTGTGAAAGAACTGTGAAATTGGAAACCCGGTCCCAAAAAAGGGGTCCAGCCACTATTAAATGTTTTTTTTTTTTTGTAATCGTTACAGGCAATCATGCCCATTTACATTAAATAATGAAAATAATACATGGGTAAAAATACAGCAGAAAAAGTAAGAAAAATAAGAAAAACTTATAGTTTATGTAACAGAAATAAGCAACACGTTTAAAATAAAGACACCTAATAACTAATGAGAGAAATACTAAACCGCAAACAAAGGGACTCGGAATGGTAATAAATCCATCCAAAACATCAGAAAATATTTCAGAAGAGGGCCATATCCTTTATAAAGCTAGAAACGGACACCTAGAACTGATATCGAGGCAACAAGACAGGTCCCTTTGTTGCTTGAAACCATCTTCCAAAGTGAAAATTTGATTTTTGGGCCAACCATTCAAAGGACACAATCGAATTAAACCAATGCATCATAATCCCTAATCCAAGCCTCCAACTGATGAACAACTGCACAAGCTGCAATATAAACCAACCATGAAGAAGAAGAAAAAACTCACAGATCCAATCAAGAGAACAGATCCAGAAAAATGTAATGACACCAGCATATAATCACAGCCAGCCCAACACCTCCAAAGCAAATCCTCATAAAACTAAGTGTTTAATATCATAAAAGTCTCTAATCCCACCCTACAACTTACAAACAACTTCACAGATTACAATATAAGCCATCAAAAAGGAAGACAAAATTTCACAGATCAGTCAAGAGAAAAGATCCAAAAAATAGCAAAGACGACAGCCGAGAATCATCGGCGACCTAATTACTCCAAAGCAAATTATCATATAACCAAGTGTTTAATATCATTATAGGATCTCCATATAACTATTTTAGCTAAAATAGCATTCTTAAAAAGCCGACCAACAATTATTGCACAATTATAATTTCCAGCAAATCTTCTGTTGGTCATTTCTCTCCATAAGAAATATAAAGTACAACAAGTTGTAAGACAAATTAAATTTATTGAATCCTTCTCCATATTAGAAGACAATAAAATCAAATACTTGAATGAGAGTTGGTCTAAGCATAAAGTGATGCAATCCTGGCACCAAAAAAAAAAAAAAAAAAAAAGGAGAAGTCACACTCAAAGAAGAGGTGATTACGATTCTCCTCAGCTTTTGCCTGTAAAATATAAGTGAGAGCAACAATTAAATGTCATTTTGGCAAATTCTTGCTTAGAAGAGAATAAAAAAGTTATACAACTTTTGTCCTTTTATGATGAGGTGGTCTAATTGGACATAACTTTGTTAAGAAATTTTATTTTTTGAATGGGAAGTGTCTTAGATGGTTTTTAAAATGGGAGAGAATTCATTTAATTGATATATTTATTTTTTTACTTTTATTTAATTTCTTTTTAAATTTTGTTTCTCTTTTTTTTTCTTTATTTTTAATTAAAATTCATTAAATTTTTATTTTGTATTATTATTATTTTATTATTATATGTGTTTTTGTTATTATTTTTAACCTTTTTTATCATAGTATTTTTACTTTTTAATTTTATCCTTATAAATAGAAATTTTATATTTTTGAAAGTTGTGTTTTATATTTTCATTTTATGAAATTTTTTTTATCATGATTGTATTTTTTTTTTATTTTGTAGGTAATTTTTATTTCTATTTTTTAATGTGATTTTAATTTTTTTTTCAAGTTCGTAAAATTCCTTATCTTATTTTTTTTTACTTCAACGTGCACCAATCCTTGGTTGCTTAGAGTGTGAGTGAGCTTAATAGATTTGTCTCGACCATCCGGATGCAACTGTGCAATCCATTTCACAAGACGAGGCTCCGAAAAAAAAAATTTACGTGAGAAAATCCTACGCATGAAAACTTCGAGCACATGGATTTACGGAAAACCTTTGACAAATTACCATCAATATCATCACGTCTCCAAACATAGTTATGAACAAAATGCGACCAATAGAATTAAATTCTGAGGTCAAAAATGAAACAGCATGATAGTGAGCAACTCGACCTACTGTCGCACTATCGTGCAAAAATGTATGGACTAACCTATAAGACATGCAGGAAGACAAAGCTAGTGATCAATGCCAAAAAAAGGTCAACAACAACTGCTATAGGCGAGCAGTTTAGATTGAGTAGAGTGATCCATAGAGTGTGTACTAATCTAAGCAAGTCCTTTTGTAGAACTCGCTGAGAATGACTGCATTCTTGATCTCTCTCTCAGAACGAGTCTGCCTGCTACAATCTACGTATGAGAAAGTGATTGTTTGGTCATGGAATGGTGCTAGCTACTATCTTGCGTTGTCATGAACCCTTTGAACAATTGATGCCCCTCCTAATCGAGTCCTTTGTTGGGAACCTACCAACATATGCATATATGATTATACATTACAAAGCCTAGCTACTGTATTGTGGTTATCACTGATATTTTATTGATTTTTAAGCCAAATAAAACCCAAGCATAAATTTAGCAACATATATTAGATATAATTCACTTAACACTGGGCTATTAAATTCAACTGAAGATGGAAGATAGCATGAAAATGACCGCTTACTGGCATGACTTGTCGCATATGCATAGAAAAATGTGGAGATACATTAATATACGGCTACTAATTTGACTCTGACTAAAAATCAATAAAAACTCAGATTTTATTTGATTTATCTCAGATTAGCTCAAGATTAACTTCTTCACATCTTCACATGCCACAATAAAAAGATTATAATTCCTACAGCCAGTTCCAGCATTCCATCGTAAAACAAAACTCAACTGCCGTCTGATTTTATCTAGATGTATTCCGCAAAACCACTCCATAGGCCAGCCAAGCTCTAACCTTGTCCACAACAATTACATCCAAGGTGTTTATCTCCCGCTATCTTCCTGAAAAAACAATTTATATTCCTCCATATCAAGGACAGCTATCACTAAACAACAATAGAGGACAAGATAAAACGGCTTAGAAGCCTGCGATGGATTTACCAGTAATTTTTTCAGCTAAAACATCATAAAAAGATTGAGGCCTGAGGCTTGCTCAAAGGCCTTGACCTCATGTCAGTTTGCATATTAATTCGATACTCATTAAATGGTTAAACCCCTGAATTTGTTTTTTTTTTTTTTTTTTTTTGCCTTTTTCAATACAAACTTTAATAAGGGGAAATGTGACCGTTTGAACGTCCATGAATTACGACCTAGTGTTGATAATCAAAGTATTGTTACAGAAACATTACAGACGACAAAATGCAATCTATTAGGTATAAAATGCATAAACTAAAGGGAGAACGGAAGAAATGCCTTCTTTCTTAGACCATGCATTAGATTTTGGGCATAATACATGAGATAATAGTAGCATTTTTGAAAATACATCACGCTCAAATTTTAACATAAATTAAATAACATGATCGTAAAACTAATCGTCAAATGCTATAACGATAATATTGTAGAAATATTATAAATGGCAATAGTAATAGTTACGTTTTTATAAAATAACCTTCTTCAAAAATTGGCATTTTACTCCGACATTTTAACTTTACCAAAAAATACTCACCATGGAAAAAATATTAAAACAAATTAGACAACCCAAAAACTAATATTAGAAAGCAGCAGCATACACTTGGCTGACGAAGTAATCAAATCGTTGAGATGCCTATACAATCACTTATGCAATACACTTTTCTTCAACGGTTTTGGCTTCTTCTGAGGGTAGTTCTGAAATGAGCAGGAAAGAGAAATTATCAGTAGAGAAAATCACATGAAAAGCAACAGACTCACAAGCACATAATTTAGTATGGCTAGGGAAGCTCGCCTTTTGCCTTTCTTGGGCATCAACATCAGTTCTCTCCTTCCAATTGCTCTTTCGCAACTTAATAGGCCGGTTCCCAACATACTTGCCTGCAATTTATTGCCACAGTTATGCATAAAATTATGAATAGAAATAAATTCAATTCATTGTATTGAATAGAAAAAGGATTCATGTAGCAGATCCCACGTAGTGGGATAAATATTTGATGTTGTTGTTGTTGTATTGTATTGAAGTAATTGATCCAAAAAAAAAAAAAAGTTAGAAAATCCATTTTATTAAACACACCATTCATTTCTTTCAGTGCTGCAGCAAGATCAGAAGGATTAGTGAAACTGACAAATCCAAAACCCCTGGTTTTACCCGTTCTCTTGTCTCTCACCACCTGGAACAACAGAAGACTTATAAATTTTCATCAGAAAATAAAATCTACAAATTGCATATAAACTGCAGTAAAAACAGACACCTAACGAAAGAAAAAACGAGCTAAAATCAAAATCATAAGGCACAAAGCTCAAATTCTTGCCTGAGAGAATAATTCGCGATGCAATCAATGACCCAAGAGTTCTACCCATAACCCATAATTTGTGCACTTTGATTGAAGGATCTAAACATTAAAGTAGTGTTTGGATTATAGGAATTTGTGTGAACGGAAAGACAAATAAGTCCAGAAAATTTCTAATTAGAGGCTATAGAACCAAAAAAAAAAGTTCTGGCTGCCTAGAATCCATCTTTCTTTAGGTAAAAACACAGAAAAGGTCGAGTATGGACTTAATTCAGTAAATGTCTTATAAATAAGTTTCAAAATTATATTGCTATACTTAATGAATTAATTCAGGTACCAATTTTTAATATCAAAAATCAAATAGGAATGGCCAACATTCAAGTACATGAGTCATAGTGTATGCTCCTCCATATCCATATAAGGTACTTATAGGTTCCTAATAAATAAAGGAAAACAGTAACCTAACAGGTCCCAATGATAAGAGCGCGATCTGAATGGTCACCACGCCCTCCACAACACTCCCAATCAGGGAGGTGACTAGCTAAGGTCAAGCAATTCACCATCAAGAGATACAAGGAGCTTGTTTAGATCCATCCAAATTCTCAAAAGCCTATCTCTTCAGAAAGGGACCGCCCCCCAAGCCTACCACTAATGCTCGAATCTGCAAGCCACCATTGCCAGTCGAACATAGCCATAGGGAAGGAATATCCTAGGAGGTCAAAAGTTCGATCACCTAGAATCAGCCTGCTCTCAGTTCGCGATTATCATATCTTGAAGGAACTTGGAATTTTAATTAAAAGAGAGGATAAAATGGAAAAAAATTTACAAGTATTTTGGCTAATTTGGAATGTGTTATGCAAACAATGAAGTTTTGCCTGAAGGGTTGTAGTTTAACCAATAATAGATCTCCTATTGAGAACTGCAAATCCCTTCTATAGCGATCTTCCATTAGTTTCATGCGATTTTGAGCTTGAGACATATTCTGGCGAAGGTGTTGTAAAAGGGTTTTCATGGTTTGTTAATAAGGAGCGTACATAATAAATGTTAATAAATGTCAGAAGAATCACAAATACATGTGGGAATTGATGGACATAATTGACCATATAGGGCCTGGAAAGGGGTCATTTGCATAGATGTATGAAAGGAAGTATTATAACAAAGTTCAACCCAATAAAGGAATGCAGATCATAATTGGGAAGTAGTTGATGTAAATGCACAAAGATATTGTTCAAAATAATGATTGAGGACATCAGTTTGTCTATCAGTATGAGGGTGAATAGGCATTGCAATAGTGAAGAGTGGTGCCACTCGAGGCAAAAAGTCGACGCCAAAAGTGGCTCAAGAAAATGTTGTCATGTTCGGAGAAAATTATTTTGGGGAAGCCATACAATTTAACTACGATATTTGCGAAAAGATCAACTACTTAAGAAGTGGAATAAATAGGGGATAATGGGCCAAAACAAGCATATTTGGAAAAACTGTCAATTACTACTAAAATGACATCATATCCTTTTGATGAAGGTAGGCCAATAATGAATTCCATAGACAAATCTTACCAAATTTGTAAAGGAATGGGTAAAAGAGCTGATAGATCGGCGGATGGCAAGGTAGAGGTTTTAATTTCATGGCAAGTAAGGCAATTATTATAGAGTTGATATGCATGCCCATATATTTCAATAAACTCCTTTTTTCCTTCTCATTATCCAAGGTTATCATCATTTTCATCTTGGTGAAATGGATGTTGTTTCTTACTTCATATTTTCAAAAATGTAAACACAAAACACCAATTTTTTGGCAAAAAGACATGTTTTTTTATACTTGCCTTCATATTTTAAAAAATGTAAACACAAAACACCAATTTTGTAGTGTAATGGATGGCACTTAAACTCACAGTATTTAATAAGTAGTTAAAATGGACCAATTGAAAGGCCATTTTGCACAGGTGCAAGCTGAGCCATAATATGTTGGGCCAATTTTCTCTCACAATCCCTCATTACAAAACTAGAGTTAGGAAATATTTGAAGTTTCAATTTACATATGCAAATCTAACTATGGACTGTGCATCCAAACAAAATGAATCTAACCAACATGGCATCTTCATGTATGGCATATTTGTAATCTAGTACAGATGATTATACAATAAAGGTTCACTGGATTAGTTCATGGATAAAACTATTGTTGTGCCTCAAAGTTGTGAATGAGAAAGGTTAGGATTGATATTTATGATCAATCATAATATATAGACAAACTTTGTAAGATAGCAATAGTTACACGTTAGTGTTGGCAGTGCTTGCCAAAACTAACGCAACAAGATGGAATTCAATATTGGGAAATAGCCAAGAGTTGGATTGGACATTACATGCAAGTGATGTGCCATAATATATATTGAGAAATGAACTAGAACATCACCTCAAGTACCATGTCACAACTTAACCTAGTTGTGGTGAAATGTGGTGACAAGCTAACAAAGTGTAAAATTAAGAATTGCAGCATGGAATTTGAGGATTTTAAATAATGTGCGAGAAATAGAAAGCGCAACAATTAACAAGAAAAAAATTCACATATTTATGAGAATTAAATTGAAATATGGAAAAATTCTATTATAGATGTTATAAGATATGTTATATTGGGTATACCAATAGGAATGGAGAAGGAATGCAACTGTAGAGAAATGAAAGATATATTTTTATGGTGAACAGGGCTAGTAAAAGTGTAATTGCCGTTGACTTATCATGGAGGATATTCTGAAGCAATTAGTGCTTATATTCCTCAGCTTTGATCAAAAGAAAGTTTAAAAAATCAATTTATGGAAGAAATAAATCAATTACCATTGAATATTCCTTCAAAGAAAAAAGGAAAACTATGGGTAGAATATTATGGATTCATAGATTCTCTACAAGAATTTATTATGAAATGATTCATGATGGGCTTGGAGGCCAATGGAATAGGAGATGGAAATTTGTTGGGATAAGTTAAACGTGATTTTTCATTAGCATGTGGGGGAGCAGGAGTGAGTTAACTAAGCAAATAAGATTGTTTCCAGTTGTGATGCTGCAACTAAAAACACCAAATTACCTTGTTGACCATCAAAAAACATTATACTCATCTAATCCACCAATGCATATGAGAGAGGTTGGAAGAGAATGAAATTAGAAAGCTTGTGGTAAGTTAGGCAACTTAGGACATAAAAGGTTTGAATAGAGACCAGCCCTCCTAACTAAACAAAACAAAAAGATAAAGGTTAAGCAAGATGACTTTTCAAGTTAGAACTTCAAAATTTAGAGAGTCCATAGGGTCAAAAAAAAGGTCCTTCAAAAAATATCTAAGAACTATTTCACATTTCAATCCAAGTCAGATAAAAATCTCAAACTAAGAAATCTTTGAGTTATTTTTCTATGTTGTGGGACCATGTAAAAAATACCTGACGTTTTAAGAAACACAAAGAACTTTACTTGAGTTTCTTTAAAAAAGAAAAAATTGGATCCATTTAAGTAATGGATTCTTCACAATTTATCATCAGTTTTTGTAGACATCAATTTTATTTCCCAACCATTCAGGTCAGCTGAATGGATTATTCACGAATAATGTCGAAGAACCTAAAATTTTTAAAAATTATATCATCCTAAGTACAAGGATTCAAAGAAGATTACAGTAATATACCATATAGAACTAATAAGCATCAATAAACCATCAAAAAAAGATGAAACTTGAAAGTAGCTCAACAGTAACAAGCATAGAAGAAATTTTTCACAACACAAATGTTTCCAGGCAAATCAAAAGTAGAACTTTACCCTCGCCATAGCAAATGATGGAAACCTAGAAAATGCTTTTGAAAGAACATCATCATTAACTTCATTACCAAGATCTCCACAAAATAATCGGAAATCATCTGCAAAATGAGCAAGCACACATGGGAAAGTTATTAAAGAAAAGCAACATATTTGCGTGAGTATATTAAAGTAGAGTTAAGAATATGTAACATACAAACATGTAAAAATAAAAAGAAGCTTCAAGACAATTCTACAAACTTAAAATTCTTGAACTAATGGATCTTATGCATGGAATAAACATTGGAATTTGACAACCATAAGAAGAAGAGCAGCTTAACATATACTGATTAATATGGGTTTAGAGTGAAATATGTTGCATGCAATTTTTGTACAAGAATCAAGTTTTCTAAGTACTATTATAGATGCCTACTAACATCTCTGTGCGGAAGCAAGAACCATAACTACAGCCAGTTCCCATTAACCAAATCTAACGCAATAGATCTGCCAACAAATCCACTGCTCCATCTTCCTATCCATGAAAACAACTCAAGTAAGAAAAGAGATGTTGCTCTTCCTATAAGGCGCTTATTTTTAACAAAAAATTTTAAATAATTCATGTGGACTTCCCCACAAGTTGAAATGTCTCACTATCTTCCTTATCCAACAATTAAAGTTGGCTTTATAAATCCTCCTCCATTCATTCCCGTTGAGTTTTATGGGAAGAAGTGTTAAATATATTTTGTACTACTCTTTTTTCGCAATATTTCCAACTATATTACATTTATTTTACCCCCTTTCACTGTTTAATCATTCAACATATTCACTTGTTGTAATATTGGTGCTTCATCCGACATCCTCTACTCAACATGCCCAAATCATAGGTGCTACTTATATTATGTGTCTAATATAATCATTTATTACTTTTTCATTGATTTAATTGTACACCCATCTTAGCATTCCTATCCCTATCACACTAAACATGGTTATAATTGACTTTATTTCCTTACACTCATTCACATCTAAACTCCTCAGAAATTTTAGAATTTACTTACAAGTATCTATGCTCTTAAGATACTTATATATAATTAAACAAATCATGTCCACATCAATACCTTGGTGTTTCTCTATAACACAAAAACACTTAAAACTATACTACAAAAATCTCAATTACAACATTTATATCCTGTATGTTAGTGTTTCAAAAGGATGTTTACTAAGAAGCTTTAATTTCAGCAAGCACCTAAAACAATTTAAGCACTTCAAGAAAACATGTTAGTTTATTTTCTATTAGAAGTTTGTGAAACATAGAACACTTTTTATATTATTTTGATCCTATACAGTAGAAGGGAACACCTACTGATAATGCCTGTGATAGGTTTGATGGGATTCATATTTGTTGACCCATATACCTCAAACCACACGAGAAAAGACACAAACTGATGAATAAAGCGATATGAGCCTTAGCGCCACACGTCACTTGAAGGGTCAAACGACCTCCGATTGCCAAACGGACAGCGTCGTTGCGATCAGGATGTCGAATTCTACTAGGTCGAGGCCCCTCGCAGTTGAATCAGATGAGATCGGTTAAAAGGGACGACCGACACTCGAGATTAAAGAGCAAGGCTGATCAAATGATGTCGGATCGACAAACGGACTTTGTCATTGCATTCAGAACAATGCAAATACTAAAAAATTACATTTTCTATGCTTAATTTGAATCATCTGAATTGGTGGCATGAATCTCGGGACAAAGTACACATCGAGGAAAGAGGCCTCGAGGTTGCCCAGACGAAGTCCAATGGCGAAACGGACTTCGTCATTGTGTTTAGAACATTGCAAATACTCAAAAACTGTATTTTATTTGTTCAATTTGAATCATCCTAATGGGTGACACGAATTTCAAAACAACACGCATTTCGAGAGAAATTAGCCTCGACAGTGGCGAAGTGACGTCCGATTGCAAAACAGACTGCGTTGTTGCGACCGGGACATAGGAAATGCCCTAAATGTATTACAAATTTGTTTAATTGAGGTTGTGCACGCAAATCGAGATGGTCTCATGTAAAAATTATCCTCGACATTGCTCAAACGACGTCCGATCGTAAAACGGGCTACGTCGTTGTGTTCGGAACATCGAAAATACCCTAAATCCACTATTAAGTTGTCCAATTTTGATATTCGACAAAAATCGACAGGCAAAACAAAGCAGTTGGCATGCAAAACGGAGCAGTTGGCACGCAAATCGAGAAAATACACGTGAAACGATGCAATTTTGAACAAATGAGGCACTGCTGTCCTCTTGAATTAAAGCCTAATGACCATACACTAATGTGGCTATTAAATTAAATCTTCTTTAGCAAAGACAGATGCCAAAAGAGGGAAAAGCGTCAAATACATTAAATGCCAATCAGTATGTCACCTCGCTTTGTCTAGCTCCTAGTCACTCCAGCTTTGTATAACAGCTGGCCCGTTGCTTCATCTGAACGGACACGCTCCATCTAAAGGCTCCCCAAGCAAACTCCTATCCAATTCTCTACAACTTTCACACCCAAGCTCTCATCCACAACCGATGCTAGCACTTGGAACTCCAACGCCTCCTTCAGCCATCCAGCTGAGATCTCCCCCTCTTCCTTCTCTCCGTCCCTTACAACCAGATCACGTTCAATCTCACAGAGCCGAACCAAATCTCAAGCTTCTTCAACCCTCTATTCCACGCCAACAAATGCATACAGCTCCACAACTTGCGGCTGTTTTCCATTGCCTCCAGTCTTCATGCCTCCTTCAAACAGCTTCAGACGAGCAACTCCAATCACATCAAATGCTTCTTGAAAATCAACAGATGAGGCCATATCCTCAAGCTGGAAGAAACGGCCTCATATCCTCAAGCTTGAAGAAACGCTGAAGCTGCTCAATCCAGCTCCTAAGCAATTGAACTCCACTCCACTCAGCATTCAATGGAGGCCGAATACTCTGGCATCCGACAAATAGAAAGATACTCACTATTGAAGCTGCTTCGAACGCTGAATACGAGCTGAGTCACAATGCGGCTGGAATTAAAATAGAGGGAGCTGAGTGTGGCCGATCCCATGGATGTTAATAGAAATTCATTGTGCATTTCTATTGTTAATGGAGAAATTGGTGCTCTAAACAGGTGTTAAATTCCCAAAAGTGCTCCTAGAACTAACTATCAGATCACAGAACAATGCACCAATTGATTACAGTATAATGAATTATAATGAGAATGAGCAATTCTTATTCCCAACTGTCTCCAATGTTGGCATAAACACATCCCAACAGCAATCGTTTAAATAAGTGCTGGGAGGAAGGGAACAAGCATTATCCCTATAGAACATGTTGGTGGAAGAAGGCTTCTTCATCCAGAGAATTGTTTTTAATTATTGAAGACTTATCTTCTTCAGTACATTCTCTATCAATTGAAGGCATTGCACAGGATGCAACTGGTAGTGTATTTGAGCCAGAGTATGGAGAGCCTATTGAAGTTACTGATTCAACCCACTGTTGAAGCCCAAACAGCGGCCCATTACATCTTCAAACAACAGTCCACAAACTTTAAATCCCAACAATCCAGTTCACTACATAACTCCTCTAAATCACCTACAGCAGCCCACTACATAAACCTTCTAAATCTGCTACATTCCGCCTACAAACCTAAACCAATTCAGTCCAAACAATCCACTACCTCATTCCACTTCACTAGAGAAGCCCACCTCTACTTAGAACAGCCCTCATCCCTCAAACAGCAAATTTGTTTCCTTGAAATCAGCCCAAAACTCATACCCATATAACCAAGCAATGAGTTTCCTGTCTTCTGTTTATTTTATGTGTTTTACTACCTTATTTTGGATATGTTAATCATCATTGTTTATGGATGCTTTTTTTTTTAACATCTTAATAGCTACTTAGTATTATTGTTGTCATTGTTATTGTTGTAAGAAAAAAAAAAAAAGGGGGATTAAAGATGATTTTGTGCACCTTGTAATATATTTTTGTACACTTCTACCTCATTATCGCCGACCCCGAAGGTATAATCTCCAAAACTCAGATTTCCTATTCTCGTCGTTTGTGGCGGACCAGGGAACCCCCTATACGCGCTCCCGTAGCACGGTAGGAGGGAGCCCGGTGCGACACCTACAACGAGGTGGGTAATCACCTAAAACTCAGATTCTCATTCTCGTCATTTGCAACGGACCGGCAAACCCCCTATACGCACTCTCGTAGCACGGTGGGAGGAAACCCGGTGCGTTGCCTACGACGAGGCGGGTAATCACTTTAAATCCCATTTTCGGCGTTTGTGGCTTATCGGGTAACCACCTATACACGCTCTCGTAGCACAATAGGAGGGAGCCAAGTGCGACGCATACGACGAAGTGGGTAAGCCCTATACACGCTCTTGTAGCGTGGTGAGGAGATTCACTTGTGTTCTTCGTACTGTTACTTTTGAAGACCCCATACACGCTCGCTTAGCGTGGTGGGATGAAAGATGTATGGCCCGGTGTCCTCCCGACACCTACCATACACGCTCGAGTAGCGTGGTGGGATGGCCCAGTTTCCCGTAGTTTTCCCCTAAACGGGGGAGACGCCGGGAGGCTGCCGAAATTTTCAGTGAATCATGGACAAGACTTGGACAAAATGTGGACAATTTGAACAAATAAAAAGACTCTAAATCAAGTTAAACAATAAATGAACTTGCAAATCAAATGAAATGAACGAAGACTTGAACATTTGAACTTGAGCAAAGATTTGACTTGGACTGCAGAAGACTTGTACTTGAACATGAACTCGAACTCGAACTGAAGTGAACTTGAATGTGGACCGAAGCTGACAAGAACAAGGGATGCACTTGAACTTGAATTGAACTCATGTTTGGATTAAGATAATATCAAATCAAAACTGCACTTAAAATGATATTATGATTTGTAAAATAATAAGATCCAAATTAAATGCAAAATAAAATATATGAAACTGGTGGACAATAAGAGACTTGCAAACTGTGAAGGGCCATAATGCATACAAGAAATATGTAGTGGATATGATGATTTATCAACAGTCACATATGTTTGAAGCTAAGCAAATCAATCAATGTCGATTCGCAAACAAG